CCTGTTGTGTTCAGCCCTCAGGCCGTGCTGCCAGCATCCTTTCTGCCCCTTCTATAGCTTCATAGCGGTGTGTTGCAAGTGGGGCTCCAAACTTGCCCTTTTCTCCCGGGATGGATGATGACCCTGTGGGGATGATGGGTCCTGACATTACAGTTCAGATGCTCCATGGCCATTGATTTCCAGAAGTAAATACACCAGCTTTTCTCAGCCTCAGTTTTCCCAATTTCTGTGACTTTGGCTAAAACTGGGGTTGCTGTCTGGGTGTGAGCCCGCATTGGGAGCCCGGCTGGTGCTGCCATCCTCCCAGACCTCCTGTGAACTGAGTTGCAGGGCCTGGGACTGCAGTTCCGTGACCAGAGGGCAGCGTCCCAGGATTGCCGGGGTGACTGTCCCTGGGATATTTTTTTTTTTTGGCTCACGCAAGGCTTTCTGTCCGCCTGTGCCATGCTGCATCGCAAACCCACACTTCCACCGGCTGCCTGCCAAGTTTCCTCTGCTCTTATCGCCGCTCTTGGCTGCGGGATGCTGCAGACCGCCGTGGTGCTTCCCCTCCGACGGCAGGCTCCCCACGCGCCTCCCAGTTTCCATCACCCTCTGCACGCTCGCCCTTCCAAGCTGTTGGAGACAGCGTTTCTTCCAGCCGGCTCACAATAGCTCAGGATAACAAAGTCCATTGAAGTTGTCTTCTGGGTCCTTCCAGCCTCTTGTTTCTCCTCACGCTTGATGAAATCTATGAAAAATAGCCTGCGGTGATTTTTTTTTTCGGTGGAAGGTCCAGAAATAAGAAACCACATGAATGTGTTGGTTTGAGGTCTAGAGGGAAATGCTAGAGGGTTGCTGTTCTGGCTCATGAGACTTTTTCTTGTTTTGCTTGTCCTCACCGTTGGCCGCACAGCCTGAAAGAATCGTGTTTGGCGTTAGAGCTGCGGGGGTCTGGGTGAGGATCGGAGGTGTGCGACAGCTTCAGCCCCTGCGAGAACAGGGTGTAGAAGCAAACGCAACGGCTTTGGCTTCAGTGAGCCTTGGGTCCGTGTGGAGCCTTGGCTGGGTGGGTGCCCCAGTCCTGGCTGTTGGCTGGGGGTGCTTGTGCAGCCCCGTGCGCCCCGTCCTTGGGTGCAGCTCCCGGCATGAAGTGTCGGTGCTCGTTTACACAGACCCCACCCTGCGCTTGGGGGTGGCTGTGCCGCATGCCTGGTGCACTCGCTCTCTGGTGGGCGCTGCAGGGTTTCTGGGTGGCTCTGGCTGAAGTCAGAGAAGAGACACGGCAGTGACAAATATGCACATGCTGAAATGACTCTTTTTGTTTTCCTTTGCAGCTTGACAGGACAGAGACAGCTGTGAACAACCTCAACCCAGCTTTTGCCAAGAAGTTCATTGTCGACTACCACTTTGAAGAAGTGCAGAAGCTCAAGTTTGCGCTGTTTGACCAGGACAAGTCCAGCATGCAGCTGTATGAGCACGACTTCCTGGGCGAATTCTCCTGCACGCTGGGCATGGTGAGTCACCGAGGTCCCTGCAGCTCGCTGTCCCCCAGTCAAGGGACCCCAAATCACAGCAGCACAGGGACGTGGCAGGATTAGAGCTGCTACTCTCACCTACTGCAAAGTTTGCTGGATCCTTCCTGGTGAAACTAATTTAATTTGCGTGTCACGCTTCAGCTGTTGAGGTTGAGCACTTCCACCTTAGAGCTATTGACTACTTGCTGGAGTCTAAGCTAGTCATAGCCTGGGCTTCTGCTGGTGCCTGCAGAGAGAGACATCAACTGGAACCTTTTGGAGGTATCATGGGTTGTAGAAGAGCCATGAGGACCAGCTTGGACTGGACTTGGGAAACTTCCAGATGGTTGAAGTTAGGATGCTTTGCGGTCTACCTTTCTATCCAGTTTTTGGGGGTTTGGGTTGGAAAGCTTTGTCCACTGTTATTGTGTAGCAAATCATCTCTCCCACTTTAGAGTGTCAGTGCAGGAATGTGTCTTCTGCTCTTCCTGTGGAAAAGCTTTCAGGATACAATGCGATTTATAAGCCTTTGGAAGATATTTGTGTTCATGAGCCCAGACCCTGTTAGAAGCTGGCAGCTACCTTCTCCAAACGCCTTTGTCCTTCAAGCTTGCTCTGACTCAGAGACCGGGAATGAGGGGGATTTTTTCCATTCTTTTGCAGCATCCGGTGGCTCGGGGCTGCTGTGGTACCTGGCACAAGCACAGGGGCTGGGAGAAACTGTCTCTGTTGTGCTCGGTGCTGAGTGGCAGAGGGAGGCAGACCCTGTAATAGGTGTCTCGGCATGGACAGGCAGCTCACGGTGTTCAGGGAGGCTCCTGAATGCAACCGCTTTATCACGCAGACTGCGGTGTGGCACTGCACGTGGCACCTCACCATGACCGACGCAAGAGCTTGACGTGTTAGAGGAGCACTGACATTTACAGAGTTTGAGGTTTAACGTCTGGAAGTGCTCTGTGGTGACCTAGTTCTGCTCCTGCAGAAGTTTAGAGATGGTGCAGGCCACAGCCTGGGCCAGCATTCAGCGATTTACACCAAACCCATCCTTTACTGTTACTTCTCCTGTTGCTGAAGCGCAGCCACTGCTGGAGCTCAGCAAAGCTCATTGTGAAGGTCACGGTCTTGGTGGAAGCTGCAAACAGAGAATTTATGGACATAGGAAACAGAGCTGAAACCTTGCTTTTCCTAAACATGGCTCTGCAGAAGTCTGGGGCTCCGCAGGTTCATGCTGGAGAGGAATGTTATCCCTATGCACTGGGGAGGAAGGTGGAAGAGTCTGACCTATCTTCTCCTGCTTTTTGGGTCTTCCAGATGAGCCCAACCCTTTCTGGTGCTTTGAAAGGTGATTAGCTCAGAGCATGAGCTGGGACAAGCCATCTGGGTTGGACAGGTTGTGGGGATGGTGGGGACGGGTGGCTGCTGGCAGGTCATATCCGCATTCTCCGTTAGCCTCCTCTCCCTGTGCACGGGCTTGCAGCACAGCCCGGTTGCGGGGCAGAGCTGGACCGGGGGGGTAGCACATGCACAAGGGTGCCTGCCACGGAGAGGGGTGATACAGGGCAGACAGGAGTTTCTGGGTTCACCCTGCTGTGGGTGTGCTGATGGGTGGATTTTGTCTGGTGAGATGTTTTCATAAGCCTGCCCGGTTTTGAGGCACGAGGAGCTCTTAGAAGGGAAGGAGAGCGGCCGTGGGCAGCAGCAGCTGCACATCTGACTGTTCAGTTTGAGTTTGCATCCGAGCTCTATCAGATCACTAAGATTGTTTTATTGCAGCTAATTAGGTCTGTGGTAGGATTTGAAAGGATGACTGGATCATTCAGGGGCCTGTAATGACCTCTGCGGCCAAACAAAGTGTAACAGGGATCAAATTGCAGGCTGGAGGGTGTCCGTGGTTTCTGGTAGCCAGGGTTGCGAGAAAATTTCACCTCCCTGTACACAGTGTGGCTGGCTGGTGATTCCTATGGATCAAAACCACCAGGACATGGCTGGCTA